GGCTCGTGCCGGAGCCCTTTCCCCTTTGCAGAGAGGGATGTGGGGAGCTCTTCAGCTCTCCCTCCCTGTGGAAATGAAGGGAGAGTGGGAGCAAAGCAGCCTGATTAATCAAAATCTAAAATGATGAAGGACTTTTTTAAAGGAAAGAGATGTCCCAGTTATGATTTCTCTGCCCTTTAGAAGTTCTTGAAAACTAGGGGGTCTTGGAGGAAAGAAAAATGATTTCTCTTGGTTTCTTTTGTTCCTCAGGGCAGAAAGCCAATTCAAAGAGGCCCTAACATGAAAGGTCAAAGTCTCTGTTACAGAGGCTGATAATAAGATGTCTCAAAGAGAATCAAAACACTCGGATTCCACCACAGAAAACTACTGGTCTTATCCAAGGTATTGGGATTAGAAGGAAGAGAGGGCAAGCGCCAACGTCTTGTCTGCGTGGAAGCAGGCTGGCAGCAGGAGCACTGCAGGCCCCGGCTAGCCTGGGTGCAGGGCCGTATTCTGCTGCCTCGTGGTGCTCAGCACATGCAGTATTTCCATGCATTTTCTGCACGCCTCATCTTTACATGCCTGTAACGGTGCTCATTTGGCCAAGACTCATTTAAAGCCCTCCAAGACGTGGTAAAAGCTGGAATCAGCCTTTACCGACTAACCTCTTGCACCATCGCTGCTCTTGCCCTCGCTGCAGCCCACTGGCAATGATTCTTGTAGCTGCTTTCTCTTCTCTGCGGCTCTCCAAAGCCTGAAAGCTGCCTGCCAGCCAGGGACGGTGTTACCCAGACTTGTGGACTGGGGAAAGAGAAACCCTGGGGCTTGGGCAGGATTCCCCATAAGCCAATGGCCATTGCTCCCAAGGCTCTAGCCTCTTAGATAACATTTGCTTTGCAGTAAATAGGATTTGCATAATAATTTCTGGCTCTTATTAGTGCTTTTAATCTGCAGAGCTCAGGAACACTCAGGTATGGTGAGGATAGCCGGAGAAAACCCAGATGAGAAAGAGATGCTCAGAAACAAGGGAAAGAAACCGAGCAGAGGGAGGAGGGTGAGCGCTTTACCTCTCTATCCCGTTAGCACATTCAGCGCAGATTGCCCAATCCTGTTAGGAGCCGCCAGCTCGGGAGCTGGAAGGCAGCTGGGTCTGGCTGCGCTCTGGGTCCGGCCGCGCGCGGTGCCCGGG